AGTGGACTGACTGTTGGGGGGGGGAAGGGGAGTGGTGGAGGGGGGGAAGAGACTGAACATAAACTGCACCTATGGATGAGGACAGTGGGGGGTGGGGAGGGGGCGGAGGGTGGGGTGGGAACCTAGTGGAGGGGGGAAGAAATGAGGAACCTTTGTAATAATATGAACAATAAAGATTGATTTTAAAAATAAATAAATAAATAAGGGGGGGAAATAAAATAAATTAATTAAAAAATTATTTTATTGATTTTTTACAGAGAGGGATAGAAAGTTAGAAACACTGATGAGAGAATCATTGATCAGCTGCCTCCTGCACACCCCTTACTGCAACCAAGGTATATGCCCTTGACTGGAATCGAACCTGGGACCTTTCAGTCCACAGGCCGACGCTCTATCCACTGAGCCAAACCAGTTTGAGTGTTCATTACACATTTGTTTTATTTCCCCTTCTTCCTTGCATAAAAGGCAGCCTAGTTTATACTATTGAATTTTGCTTTCTTCATTTAATATATCATGGAAACTTACTCCATACCAAATCAGTGATATAATTTCTAAATTACATCTAGTAAAACATTTCATTCACTTCTCAGTTGAATGTTTACCAGCCACTGAGCTAGAACAGACAGGAAAATGAGTAAATACAGTCCTTAGTGACGTTAGCCTCCAGTAGAAAGGAGAGCATGTAAGAAACCATGAGTGCTCAGAGAGCTTGGAGAAGGGAGCCAGAGGCAGGATGTTCAAAAGGACTGACGCCTAAGCTGGAAGAATGAGAGAGCAGGTGAAGGAACAGCGCGTGTAGAGGCAGGGTTAAGGGCCAGGTATGTTGTGGAACGGGAAGTTTAATGGGGCTAAAATTTAAAAATTTGAGTGTGGCAGAAACCGGTTTGGCTCAGTGGATAGAGCCTCAGTCTGCGAACCGAAAGGTACCAGGTTCGATTCTGGTCAAGGGCATGTACATTGGTTGTGGGCACATCCCCAGTGGGGGGTGTGCAGGAGGCAACTGGTTGATGTATCTCTCTCATCGATGTTTCTGGCTCTCTATCCCTCTCCCTTTCTCTGTGAAAAATCAATAAAATATATTTAAAAAGAACTTGAGTGTGGAAGCAGGGTGTACAAGTAGAAGGCAGAGACAACTACAACCTTGAAGACAGAAGAGAAGCAGTCCAGAGATGGAAGACGCTGACATTGCCTTGCCATACCAGCAGACAGCAGCTGTGTATCACTGCAGGTTGCCCAGGACCAAACCAGAGAGGGTTGGACCTGCATTACCACCATTTGTCCACCATCCAGAACTGAAATATCTTTGCTGACATGTACACATAAGGAACTGTTTGACATAGAAATTGGGATTCAAAAGAGCTGTTGGCCCAGAAAGAAACTCACTCCAGACTGATTCATTTACCTTTCAGCATAACCATTATTGCTTGTCTCATTTTTTATTCTTATATTTCCAGTAGGACATGATCTCACTCATCTAGGGGAAATGGTGAACAACATAGACTGATGAACAAGAACAGACTCAGAGATAAGGAGCCATGGGTCAGACTGTTGGACCTCAAAGGGAGGGTGGGGATAAAGGGGAGAGATCAACCAAAGGACTTGTGTGCACACATATGAGCCCAACCAGCGGTCAAGGACAATAGGGGGGTGGGGGCATGGTGGGGAGGGATGGGGTATTGGAATGGGGGGTTGAGGACAAATATGTGATACCTTAATCAATAAAAATTAAAATTAAAATTAAAAATAAGAAGAGGGAGGCAGAGGTGCCCAGAAGGAGCTGGAGAGGTGACATGGCACCAGGTGATACAGTTAATGCCGGGAAAAAGCTGGACTGTGTTATTCAGGCCTCCAGGAGACATCGTCTTCAAAACACCAGTCAGATTCATTCACTTCACAACTATTTTTTAAATATATTTTTATTGATTTCAGATTCGAAGACAGGTAGAAACATCAATGATGAAAAAGAGTCATTGATTGGCTGACTCTGCATGCCCCCCATGGGGGATCAAACCCGAAACCCAGGCATGTGCCCTTGACTGGAATTGAACCTGGCACCCGTCAGTCTGCAAGTCGATGCTCTATCCACTGACCCAAACCAGCTAGGGCAGTGGTCAGCAAACTGCGGCTCGCAAGCCACATGCAGCACTTTGGCCCCTTGAGTGTGGCTCTTCCACAAAACACCCCATGCGGGAGCGCACGTACAGTGCGATTGAAACTTCATGGCCCAGGGGCAGAAGTCGGTTTTCAGCTCTCAAAAGAAATTTCAATCATTGTACTGTTGATATTTGGCTCTGTTGACTAACAAGTTTGCCGATCACTGAGCTAGGGCCACTTCACAAGTATTTAATTGGCTGCCTGCATTGGCCAGGTCCTGCTGAAGGAGCAGTAACAAGACATAATTCAAGGAACTCTTAAAGTGGGGCAAATGGCTGGGCAAACACACAGGGAGGGAGACTAACACGCCCGAAGCTAGGAGTGAGGCAGGAGTGAAGGAATACTTTCCAGAGAGTAAGGCAGGTTTTTATCCAGGATGGGTGCTTGGAGGAGAGGGCTGGAGAAGAGTCCCCAGGCTAATGCACGGAGTGAAGAGACAGAAGATAGTAAAAGGTTCTCTGGGGCTAAGACCACAGGCCCACCTCCCATTGTCCACAGAGCAATGAGCAACCCATGATTTCACTTTACTTTTATTGATTTTATCAGTCCTCACCTGAGGATATTTTTTTCCATTGATTTTTTTTGAGAGAGAGGGAGGGAGGGAGTAAAGGACTTAAGGAGGAACAAACACTGATGTGACACACACATGGATTGGTTGCCTCCCCACGCCCTACCTGACTCAGATTGAAACTGCAACCCAGATACATGCCCTTGACCAGAATGGAACATGTGATTCTTCGGTGCTCAGGCAGACGCTCTAACCACTGAGCTCAACATGAGGGCTTATTCTCATTGATTTTTAGAGAGAAGAAGGGAGGGGAGAAACATTGATCCACTGCCACAAGTAACCCTTTAAAAATACAAATCGGAAATCTTCATTTCATGTAAAAGGCTGCTTTAAGGTTAATGTCTGTCTCTTTAAAAATCTGGTCCCACCTGACTGGTTTGGCTCAGTGACTAGAGCGTCTACCTGCGGACTGAGGGTCCCGGCATGTACCTTGGTTGTGGGCACATCCCTAGGCGGGGTGTGCAGGAGGCAGCTGATTGATGTTTCTCTCTCATTGATGTTTCTAGCTCTCTATCCCTCTCCCTTCCTCTCTGTAAAAACCAATAAAATATATATATATATAAATCTGGTCCCAGATTGCTTACCGCTCCAGTTTTTGTGTTATTGTTTTTTTAACTTCCTCCCTCTTTAATTGTATTTCCTTAGCTTGTCCCATCCTACTCCCCTTGCCTAGAAATCCATTCCCCAACACTTGGGTAGGTGTTACTCCTATCTGCTTTCATAGTGCCCCGTGCTTCACCTAATGCCACTGCATTGTCTGAATCTACCACTAGTTTGAATGCTGAGGGCAGACGTGGGTTTAATTACGGTTGTATACAGAGCATCTAGCCTAATGTCCCAATGCCCAAGTTTAAACGAATGAAGGCTGTCCTCACTGCAGAGTGAGGTGCGGCCTTTTGAACTAGACCCCGGGAGCTTCGTCCTTCAGAGCAATCTATTACTGCAGGTCAAGGGTTCAATCATCTCAGGGCTTGGAGAAACAAGCCACTTAGGTAAGGTGACCGGAGGTCCCTCTTTTTAACAATTTGTCCCGGGGCGCTTTAAAAAAAAGTCCCGATTTTTATTTTTATTTTTTAAACGGGACTTTTTTTTTTTTAAATGCTGCGGGACAAATTGTTAAAAAGCAGGACATCAGGTCACCTTACACTTAGGTTTAAAATCACTGAAGTTTAAAGTTATTTAGCATTAGGCATCAATTTATCTGCAAAGACCAGCTTGCTCAAGCTGATACTTAAAATCCATCTTAAAAAAAAAAAAATTATATATATAGAGAGAGCGAGCGTCGGCCTGCAGACTGAAGGGTCCCGGTTAGATTCTGGTCAAGGGCATGTACCTTGGTTTCGAGAACATCCCCAGTGGGGAGTGTGAGGGGGGCGGCTGATCGGTTTCTCTCTCATTGATGTTTTTAACTATCCTTCTCTCTTCCTCTCTGTAAAAAATCAATAAAAATATATTTCTAAAAAAAATAATAATAATAAATAAATTTAAAAAATAAAACCCATTTTTTTTTTTAAAGCAGATAAGGCCCAAAGTAACTCTCCTGAAACCTAGCAAACCACCCAAGAACAGCAGCTTGTCCAGTCCCTGGGTTTTTTTCTTTCCTTTGACCCCGCCCACGGGGCCACAAACGGCGGAAGCACTGCACGCTACGTCGTGACAGCTCACCTACTGCGGAGGCATCTCCGCGCTGCGCCGGCGGCGGGGGCGGGGCGGCCGGCGCTTCCTTCCGGTCGCCGCCGCGGCTCCTCCCCCGCGGCCGCACACGCTCATTGTGGAGCGACCGCGGCGGCAGCCTCCGCAGCTGTTAGAGAACAGAGACCCCAAGTCCTCGGCGCGCGTGAGCGCCCGCGCCGCCCCCTCCCGCTCCCACTCCCACGGCGGGGGGCTCGCGGTCCCCCTTTACCCTCCCCTCCCGCCCCAGCTAACCGCCCGGCCCGCGCGGACTCCACGCCGCCGCCCCTCCCCCTCCGGCGGCTCCCGCCCGCCCGCGCGCTCCTCCTCCCCCCGCCCGGCCCCGGCGACGCGCACGCGCGCCGGCCCGGCTCGCGCCCTCTCGCTTTCCTCCGGCCGCGGGACCCCCTCCCCTTCCGCCTCGCGGCGCTCCCTCGCGCTGCGATCTCCTCTGTCCGCCCCGAGACTGCGGGCCTTCCCCCCCCGCCCGCCAACGGCGGGTCCCCGGCTTCCCGGTCCCCTTCGCTTCCCGCGCTCGCCGGCGGGGGCCCGGCCCCGGCCTCCTCTCCCTCCCTTCCCCCCGATTCCCCTTCCGGACGCTGCCATCATGTTGAAGCCTCAGCCGCCACAGCAGACGTCCCAGCCCCAGCAGCCGCCCCCCGCGCAACAGGCCGTGGCCCGCCGGCCCCCCGGGGGCACCAGCCCTCCCAACGGCGGCCTCCCGGGGCCCCTGGCCTCCGCCTCGGCTCCCCCTGGACCTCCCGCCGCCGCTTCCCCCTGCCTGGGGCCTGCGTCTGCTGCCGGGAGCGGGCTCCGCCGGGGAGCCGAGGGCATCTTGGCGCCGCAGCCGCCGCCACAGCAGCAGCAGCAGCAGCACCAGGAGAGGCCGGGGGCAGCGGCCATCGGCAGCGCCAGGTGAGGCGGGTTGGGTTTCGGGGCGCCGGAGCGCAGGCTGCGGGCAGCGGCGGCTCGGTTGCGGCCCGCCGGTCTGGACTTCAGCACCCGGCGCGGGGCGGGCTCCCAGCCTGGCCCCCTTGGAGGGAAGACGGGGAACCCCCCCCCCCCATGCGGCTGGGGATGGGCCCTGACCGGTCAGGGGAAGAAGGGTCCCCCCACCGCCATCGGGGCATTTAAGGGCCATGCTCGGCGCTCAGCCTAGTTAGGGCTCGCAGCCCTGGCCTCGGGAGCAGGTGGGGCGCACCCCGCTAGCGCGTCGGAACGAGGAGTTGGGGGGGTGAAGAGGTGATGGGGACCCCAGCTCCATTACCACGGAGGGTCTCGCGGTTCCCGGCTTCAGCCAATGGGGAGTCAGCTGCAGGAAGGGGTCCGGGCCGCAGCCAATGAAGGGGGGCGCGCGGCCCGCAGTTTGGCCAATGGGGAGGGAGGGACTTGGAGCGGGTTGCCACCTCCCCCTTCCTGGTCTGGCCAGTAGGAGGGGAGCTGGGTGGGCGGGGGGACGGAAGGAGAGGACTGGGGGGGGGTGTTGGGGGGGAATTGCGGCCCGGGAGCCTCCAGAGCGCGCGCGCTCTCTGCGTACGTGCGCGTGGTGGGTTCTCTGTCTGGAGAGCCGGGCATTCAGGAGCCCCAGGGGCAGGGCAGTGGCCGGGAGTGTGCGTGGAGGGGCCCGTGGCTGAGGGCAGACACCGCTCGGGTCCCTCTGTGCATGGGTTAATGCCGCCGAGCGTGGAGGCACACGCAGGCGCAGTGCATTCTGATCGCGGGAGGGGGTATTTTGAAGAGGCCCGTGGGTCCCAGTGCGCAGGCGCAGGCCGGGCGAGGCCTCCCTGTGGATACCTTTTGCGGCTGCGCTGCCCCCCCCCCCAGCCCCGCCAACGGCCCCCTCACCACCCTCCTCAACCGCCGGTTACATCAGCCAGCGAGGAGCGGGGTCATCAGGCCATTGACGACCCTCTCGGAGCGGGTGACTGGCTGAATGAATCAGGAGGCCGAGAAGGTGGTTGTAGACGGTCTACCGTCCTCCCAGGAATCGGGGTGCAAGGCCCTGAAAGGGATTGTCTTTTCTGTTGGGGAGGTAATGTGCCTGGGCTAGGTACTTCCGGGTCTGTGTCCCTGAGCTCCGCTCTTCCCTCTGAGATGGATTATTGTCTGATGCCGCAGCAATGGTCTCTCGGAAGGGTGCGTGCAGCCTTGGCCCCTTGGAGAAAGGGAGACAGCGGTTGTTGATGGAATTCTATCACGAGATGTGTCTAGTGGTTTATAATGTCTGTGCCTCTTTCTTCTATAAGGTGCAAGTTCGAAAATCTTGTTGATGAATTTATCCTAGATCAGCATTTTCACATAGTGTGTGATTCTAGGCTACCAAGTCCTTTGAAATTAATTGTGTAAGGGGGATTGAACAGATTTCAATAACTAGTTTCTTATTTCCTCTTATAGGGGACAAAGCACTGGAAAGGGACCCCCACAATCACCGGTGAGTGTCCCCCCCCCCCCCCAAGGTACAGAGACCTAAAAGGTGCATTTGTATGAATATAGGACTGATTAGGTACAGAAGTAGTCAGGTAGGCTCAGGAGGGCAAGGAGGGGGCCAGCTCATACCAGGTGGATGGGAGGTACGGGAAGTGCAGATTTTTAGAAGGTAGATGAAATGTTGACTGGCTATTTATTTCTCCCTCCTATGTTACTGACAGGTATTTGAGGGTGTCTACAACAATTCCAGAATGCTGCATTTCCTTACGGCTGTTGTGGTAAGTGGGTACCTAACCTCTAGGTTGTTTGAGGGATGCCATGCATCTGTCTGATTTCTTACTTTTCACACTTTCCTAGGGCTCCACTTGTGATGTAAAGGTGAAGAATGGTACCACCTATGAAGGTATCTTCAAGACCCTGAGCTCAAAGGTCAGTGTACTTAATTAAATTCACTTATTTTTGGAGTTGTATGGAAGGAGGGAGAATGAAGAAGGTTCATTGAAGATGTGGATTGAGTGGTTTGGACATTGTGGCTGTTAACTCATTTCTTCCGGCTTGCACTGGGTTTCAGTGCTGCAAGCAATGAAGGGCATAGGTCTGAAATTTGAGGGCTGGATACTTTAATGTAAAAACTTAAAGAGTAAAGTTTTAATTTGGGGACTTTTGCTAAGTTCTGTGGCTAATACTGAGATGTTATGCATGATGTTGGGAAGTTTAGGAAGGTAAAGAGAAAAATAGTCATATTTGCCTTCATGCTTCTTGATATTGACCTTGGGTGTTGGAAATGGGACTTTTTTTTTTTTTTTTTAGTTTGAACTGGCAGTAGACGCCGTGCACCGGAAAGCATCTGAGCCAGTAGGTGGCCCTCGTCGGGAAGACATTGTGGACACCATGGTGTTTAAGCCAAGTGATGTCATGCTTGTCCATTTCCGAAACGTTGACTTCAATTATGCCACTAAAGGTATTGTTCCGTGCTCTTATGTCAAACCCACTCTGGGAGGGGAGAGCTGAGAGCAGTGACATGATGCTGAGTCGCTCCCATAACCGTCCACTTTACTATCTTGCTTTCTGAGGAAGATGACTGGATTTTTTTGAGAATGTGTCTTAATATGTAAGATAATATGGGACAAATTTGGCCTATGTTGTGGCTCTTCCTGTTTGATTTATTTTAAACTCCTTGCTGCTTATGAACTTACTAAGATGATAATTTTTTAAATATATATTTTATTGTTGTCTTTTTTTTACAAAGAGGAAGGGAGAGGGATAGAATTAGAAACATGGATGAGAGAGAAACATCGATCAGCTGCCTCTTGCACACCCCCTACTGGGGATGTGCCCACAACCAAGGTATATGCCCTTGACCGGAATTGAACCTGGGACCCTTGAGTCTGCAGGCCACCGCTCTATCCACTGAGCCAAACCGGTTTTGGCTAAAATGATAATTTTTATGCTGTGTCTACCCAACCCCCAACCGTGGCGCACATAAACTTTTCTTTGCTTTTAAACAATTTATGGAAAGGGGGGATTGGGAAAAGCCTGTGAGGTATCACATGATTCCTGATCTTCATCTCTACGCCCACAGACAAGTTCACTGATTCAGCCATTGCCATGAACTCGAAGGTGAATGGGGAGCACAAAGAGAAGGTGCTTCAGCGCTGGGAGGGTGGTGACAGCAACAGTGATGATTACGACCTCGAGTCTGACATGGTACAGTCTCCTTCCCCAAGACCCTGAGAGCTGGGCAGCTCTGCTCCCGGGGGGTTATTGGCTCCACTGTCATTCTTGGAACTGGGTTGCTTCAGGGGAGGGGGGTCATTTACTCTTGCCCATTCATGACATCAGATTCCAAATGGGAAGGCACAGAACCTAACAAAATACCTGTTCTCCCACCATCTGTGATTGACAATTGTTAATATTTGCTTCAAGTCAACTTAGCACAAAGTATAGACAAGAGTGAGTACTGTGTAGGCACATTTCCAAAGAAACAGCTACTGTACTTTGAATCATTTAAAATGCTTGTGAGAATTGCTGTTTAATTTGTACAACAATTTTCTTTTTCTGCTGTTTTTGAATGTTTTGTGTCGCTCCGTAGATCTAGTTTATTGCTTTTAATTTGGGTACTGTTCTACTTAGGACCCTATCTATGAATATCCAAACTGTATTTCTCTTTTCCCCTGCTGATTGTGCTTGTCATTATAGTTGCCTTATTGAATTTTTAGAACATACACATATACCAAAATTTCTCTGCGATATAAACCTGAAAATTGATTTCTTAGATTTTATGACTTCAGTTTTACTAATTATTACCAGTTTGTAGTTCTAGTTGGCATTCTCACCAGCCTTGTCCCAATTTTTCCACTTCTGGTGTGGTCAGGTTTTTAAATTTTGCAGTCTGGTGGGAAATGATAGGTCATTGTCGCTTTCCTTGCTGGCTTTTAAAACGTTCTCCCTCCTTCCCCCTAGTCCAATGGATGGGACCCCAATGAAATGTTCAGGTTCAATGAGGAGAACTATGGTGTGAAGACCACCTATGACAGCAGCCTCTCGTCTTACACGTGAGTGTCCGGCACTCCCCAACTGCTGCAGGTTGAGGCATGGCGTCACCAACAGGGGAGGGGCAGGTCTCTAGGGGGAACGTGGCTATTTGCATGCTTTTCTGAATGTTCGGGTTGCCTCTCTCCACTCCTGTTATATCTTGTGAACTGCTTTCAAAAATTTGCTTTTAATCTTGATTCCAGGCCACCTCCTGGGTAAAATTAACTGCTTGCCCATCTGTCCACACTTTTCTTCTAGAACTTAAAATGCACTTTATGTGTTTTCAGTGTCCCCTAGCGTCATAGATGCCTTGCTGCTCTGCCTGGGACGTAGGATGTCCATTAAATATGTGTTGGGTTGTGATAGGACTGATAGACATTTTTTCTTTTTTTCCCTTTTGTCTCCTGGCGCTGGGTGGTCTCTGGTGGTCTTCTCAGGGTGCCCTTAGAGAAGGACAACTCGGAAGAGTTTCGCCAGCGGGAGCTGCGCGCCGCCCAGTTAGCTCGGGAGATTGAGTCGAGCCCCCAGTACCGCCTGCGGATCGCCATGGAGAACGACGACGGCCGCACTGAGGAGGAGAAGCACAGTGCGGTCCAGCGGCAGGGCTCCGGCCGGGAGAGCCCCAGCCTGGTGTCCAGGTAACCCCTGGGCAGCCTGGGAGGTGTGGGCCTCGCTCGATCGATGGGCCAAGAGTTTTGTACACTTGTTTGAGCCCCACAGCCATATGAAATGTAGGTTAGTTATTCCCAATTATTATTTTAGGAGATTAAAATGTAGAGTGGTTAAATGCTTTACCCAGAGTAACAAGACTAAAGTTAGAAAAAGATTTTTGTTTCTGAATTTTGATACATATTCTTTCTCTTTTTTTTTCTCTGCATATTCATCTATATGTATCTCTTATTCCTCCCTTTGTGAAAATAGAATCAAACTGTACGTGATGATCTGCATCTTGTAAAAGATGCACCTTGACCTACTATGTGGTACTGCTTTTCTCATAGGCCAGGGGTGGAGAATTATGGAATATTAGCCTGGTTGGTTGGGGTAGGGTTGATAAAATGTAAGGTCATAAGCCTGTAGCCACAGAACATTTAACTAGGACAGATCTTCAAGTGGGTGTGGGTGTGGGGGTGTGTGTGTGTGTGTGTGTGTGTGTGTGTGTGTGTGTGTGTTGGGTGGAAGGTGGTCTTTAGAAGGAAGGGCTTCATCTTTCCAAAGTGTGTGGATTTTGTGGCTACCTGACCTCATTTGAACTCTTCCCTCCACCCCCAGGGAAGGAAAGTATATCCCTCTACCCCAGCGAGTTCGGGAAGGTCCCCGGGGAGGAGTTCGATGCAGTAGTTCTCGGGGCGGCCGACCTGGCCTTAGCTCTTTGCCACCCCGTGGTCCTCACCATCTTGACAATAGCAGCCCTGGCCCAGGTTCTGAGACACGTGGTATTAATGGAGGTGAGTGGTGAAGCAGACTTGGGGGGGACAGGGAAGGATAATTAATTGAAAGGAATGGGTTGGAAGGATAATGGATTTGTGGTAAAGTAATAGCAGGTACTCTCCCTCTTTTTTTCCCACCTTTAAAAAAAAAAAAAGGCCCTTCCCGCATGTCCCCTAAAGCACAGCGGCCTGTGAGAGGTGCCAAGACTCTGTCTTCACCCAGCAGCAGGCCTTCGGGAGAAGCTTCCGTCCCACCGGCTCCTGCAGGTAAAGCCAGCATGTCACAGGAAGTGATGGGAGGAGTTTGTAGAAATACAAATGTCGGTTGTTGGAATACTGGGCTGGGGGGACAGTTCAAGATGTAAAAAGCATTTTGAAAGATTTGGGTTTATACTTTTTAGCAAAGAATTTTTCAGTTTCCCTCATGCAGAAACCCCAATAGAGTGATTTGTGGGTGTGTCTGGATTTGTGGGTGTGTCTGGCTGGCAGATAACTTTGTTTAAATTAGTTGCCAACACTTTAAAATAGGGGAAATAAGACAATTTCTAATTTTCTTGAAGTACAGGAAGTTCAGCCAACACTGACCTGTCCTTTTGTTGTTGTTGTTAATCCTCACCCGAGGATATTTTTCCATTGATTTCTAGAGAAGTGGAAGGGAGAGGGAGAGACACAAAGAGAGAAACATCAATGGAGAGACACACATCAATTGGTTACCTCCCACACACACCTTGTCTGGGCTGGGGATTGAGCCTGTAACCAAGGTATGTGCCCTTGACCAGTATCAAACCTGGGACCCTTAGGTCTGCAGGCCAATGCTCTGTCCACTGAGCCACACCGGTGGAGGCAACACTGACCTCTCTTGCTGCATGGCTGCAGGTGTCCGGACTGAGTCACGACTGCCCTTTTTGAGTCTTGCGTGGTGCCCATGAGGCCATCTCACCTGCTTTGCCCTCCTAGGCACTTAGGTCTGTGAACTTGTTTAGAAAAGAGGGGGTAAACTTTTCTTGGTGTTTTTAGTAAGTCCTTTGTACCCATTGATAATTGACCAGCAGTAACGATTGTGCAGCTTTCCCTTTTCTTCCAGTGGGCCGGATGTACCCCCCACGCTCTCCCAAGTCGGCTGCCCCTGCCCCAGTCTCAGCTTCCTGTCCTGAGCCTCCCATTGGCTCGGTAGTACCCACCTCTTCAGCTTCCATCCCTGTGACGTCATCAGTTGTGGATCCTGGAGTAGGTTCCATCTCCCCAGCTTCTCCAAAGATCTCACTGGCCCCCACGGATGGTAAGAGCCAGATGGTTTAGGGCTGTGGGCAGTGTGAAGTGTGGTCCTGGGGAAAAGACCTTCAGTTGTCTGTCTGTCTCTTCTTGCTCAGTGAAAGATCTCGTCGCCAAGGACCCGGGAAGAACTCTGGAACCCCAGGAGCTGTCCCGGTTATCTGGGAAAGGTGAGGATTGGTTTTGTTTGTTTTTTTCTCTTTCTGCCAAAGTATAATGGCCCTTTGATTAGGAGAGCATTTCAATTAGAAAGTTGTTAGAACTCAAAAACAATGTCTATTCAAAACAAAACAAAAACAGTCTATTAGGCCTTGGATTCTTCTATTTAGATTTTTATGCTGTGGGCTACTGGCGCTGTATAGCCACCTTTGGGAAAGAAATGTATATTCTCTCTTTTCACTGTTTCTCGTAGTGCCTGGCCTTCAGAATGAACAGAAACGCTTTCAACTGGAAGAACTGAGAAAGTTTGGGGCCCAGTTTAAGGTGAGAGACGTGTGGGAATGAATTCTAGGATGTTTACAGGATGAAGGTGAAGTGGGTCTGGGCAACTTAAAGAAGAGGCACAGGGCCGAAACCGGTTTGGCTCAGTGGATAGAGTGTCGGCCTGGGGACTGAAAGGTCCCAGGTTCGATTCTGGTCAAAGGTGTGTACCTTGGTTGCAGGCACATTCCCGGTGGGGGGTGAGCAAAAGGCAGCTGATCAATGATTCTCTCTCATCGATGTTTCTAACTCTCTTATCTTTTTTCTTCCTCTCTGTAAAAAAATCAGTTAAAAAAAAAAAAAAATATATATATATATATATATATATATTTTTTTTTTTTTTTTTTTTTTAAGAAGAGGCACAGGACAAGGTGGGATAGAAGAGATGAGAGCAAGGGTGAAAGAAGCAAGGCCTTGGGTCTGGACCGGTGTTCTATGTGTGGTTTTTCTCCTTCCAGCTTCAGCCCAGTAGCTCTCCTGAGACCTGCCTGGATCCTTTTCCTCCCCGGATCTTAAAGGAGGAGATCAAAGGGAAGGAGAAGGAAGTTGATGGTCTATTGACCTCAGAGCCCATGGGGTCCCCGGTCTCCAAGACGGAGTCCTTATTGGATAAGGAGGACAAGCCACCCCTGCCATCAGCAGGAGGCACGGAGGGGCCAGATCAGCTCCCACCACCTTGCCCGAGCCAAACTGGCAGCCCCCCGGTGGGCCTCATCAAAGGAGATGACAAGGATGAGGGCCCTGTTGCCGAGTGAGTTGGGTGGGGAGATGGGTGGGTGTCGGGTGATGAGGGGCAAGCCGTGAGGATTTACTCTGCTTTTCTCTCGTAGACAAGTGAAGAAATCGACATTGAATCCTAATGCCAAGGAGTTCAATCCTGCAAAGCCTCTGCTGTCTGTGGTGAGATGGGGTGGCATCTCCATAAAGGACACTGGGGAATGGGGTAAAGGCCCTGGAGGGGAGAGCGCTTGCCACCAGGCAGATGATGTGTAAAAGTGTGTAGGCTGATTTAGGAAAAACAGACCAATTTCAGAGCTGGTGGCAAAGTATCGTGATGTGTCTGTCCGACAAGTGTTGATTTGTTTCTCTCTGATACTTAGCATTTGGCTCAGGGAATGTCTGAGTGTGGTAGTTATGAGCATGAGCTTCATTTGGACTCACTGACTTGGCTTAAACCTGTACTTTCCTATAAGCGTTGTGATCTTGGACAAGCCACTTACCCTACCTCCCTGCTTCGGTATTGTCAGATATAACTAGTGTGTCTACCTCATAGGGTTGACGTGAGGCTTAATCAAAATAGAGAGTAGAAAGTGTTTGGCGTACAATACTCCATCCATAAATGTTGCTGTATAGGCAAGGGGGCTGCTATGAGTAATAGAAAAATCATGAGATATACACGTCCTCCCTTGTCTTTTTGCAGAATAAATCCACAAGTACCCCAACTTCTCCGGGGCCCCGGACTCATTCTACTCCCTCCATCCCGGTGCTGACAGCAGGCCAGAGTGGGCTGTACAGCCCCCAGTACATTTCCTACATACCTCAGATCCACATGGGACCAGCCGTTCAGGTACGAGAAGGGGCTCGCTGGGACCAGGGCGTAAGAGGTTTGGTTGGGCTGGCGGAGGGACCGGGTCAGACCTGTTCTGGGCATTTTAAGCTGGTCATTCAGCCTTACCTGCCTTACTGTCCCTAGGCACCTCAGATGTATCCATATCCTGTATCCAACTCAGTGCCTGGACAGCAGGGCAAGTACCGGGGAGCAAAAGGTGAGCAGGGTCGGGAGGGGCAGCCAGGGCTGCTCAGTGCCTCCTGGCAGGTGGAGCTTGAGCTCTGCACTATTTTCCCCCTGCCTCCAGGCTCCCTGCCTCCCCAGCGCTCGGACCAACACCAGCCTGCCTCAGCCCCTCCAATGATGCAGGCTGCCGCTGCTGCTGGCCCACCTCTGGTGGCTGCTACACCTTACTCTTCCTACATCCCCTACAACCCACAGCAGTTCCCAGGCCAGCCCGCCATGATGCAGCCCATGGCCCACTATCCCTCTCAGGTGACTGAAGCGCGGGAGGGACGTGAGGGTGCAGAGGCCTTGCTAGAGATCCATCTCCACGTCCCAGGCAGAGGAGCTGGGTGAGGGAGGGAGGCAGTGATCTGGGTGGTGGTGCCAGGCTGGGGATTCAGTCCTGGTCTGATAGGATCTGTTGCAAGGCACCTAAGACCCAAGCCCCAGACAAACATTAAAGGACAGCCACCACCCACGCCTTCACTAAAGTGTCAGTAAAACAGCACCTACACAGTTAGGTTATTGGTGAATGTCCAGCAAGGTAGTGTGACAAGACCAGAGCATTGCTGTGCAGAGGTTATGCTTTCCAAGTCCTTCGCTGACCATTTCTCTTTGCCGCTCCAGCCGGTGTTTGCCCCCATGCTTCAAAGCAACCCACGCATGCTGACCTCGGGGAGCCATCCCCCGGCCATTGTGTCGTCCTCCGGCCCTCAGTTCCCTTCAGAGCAGCCCACCCCCCAAGCCCTTTATGGTGAGTTCTGGACCCTCTCCCTCCAGGCTGTGCTCCCCAGTCCCCTCCAATGTGCTCAGCACTGATTATCTCTCTCGTTCCATCTGTAGCCACTGTCCACCAGTCCTATCCACACCATGCCACGCAGCTCCATGCCCACCAGCCGCAGCCGGCCACCACGCCTACGGGGAGCCAGCCACAGTCCCAGCATGCGGCCCCCAGTCCTGTCCAGGTGCTTGCCGTGGGGGAGCTGAGCAGTCAGGGCAGGAGTTGGGGGCTGAAGGAGAGTGGTAGAGCTTGGGTATTTCCCCAGCGGTGAGGGTTAGGGGTCAGTGGGTGGAAGGCCTGGGTATCGGAGTGAGTGGCGCTTAACCTTTCCCTCCCCCTGACAGCACCAGGCAGGGCAGGCCCCACACCTGGGCAGTGGACAGCCACAGCAGAATCTGTACCACCCAGGGGCCCTGACAGGCACGCCTCCTTCTCTGCCACCGGGACCTTCTGCCCAGTCCCCTCAGAGCAGCTTCCCCCAACCAGCTGCTGTGTATGCCATTCATGCCCACCAGCAGCTGCCCCACGGCTTCACCAACATGGCCCATGTTACCCAGGTAAGAACTCAAGGACCCAGCTTTGTCTGGGTCTGTTTTGCCATGAGGACCTTGGCCGTGAGACTGTCCCATTCCTGAGTCCCTGGTGCTGGGCTGCCTCTGCGTCACGCTCCGGACGCTGGGATTCTTGGCGCCTTTGTCAGGCTTCTGTGGCGCCCCTAACTGCTCTCTGTTTTCTGCAGGCCCATGTCCAAACTGGAATCACAGCAGCCCCGCCCCCTCACCCTGGGGCTCCCCACCCGCCCCAGGTGATGCTGCTGCACCCACCCCAGAGCCATGGGGGACCCCCCCAAGGCGCAGTGCCCCAGAGTGGGGTGCCTGCACTCTCAGCTTCCACACCCTCACCCTACCCCTACATCGGACACCCCCAAGGTGAGCAGCCTGGCCAGGCGCCTGGATTTCCAGGAGGAGCCGATGACAGGATTCGTGAGTTCTCGTTAGCTGGGGGAATTTGGCATGGACGAGCTGATGGGCTACAGGTGGGGCAGGATGCACGGGTTCTGGGTGGGGAGTGAGGGGTCTTGGAGGCAGGGCTGTCCCACAGGGCGCCTGCCGACCTGCACCTGTCTGTGAAGTATGTAGGGTGGGCAGAAGCCACAGTCGCCGCCGCCAGGGGCTTGCTCCTGGCTCTGTCCTTTGCTTCCCTCCGTCCTCGCTCAGTTGTGATCCAGCAGCCCCCCTCCCCACTGCCTCCCCAGCTCTCAGTGACCCCGACTGCCTCCTGACTTAGCCGAGGTAAGGTCAGCGCAGCAGACAGGGCCAGGCTGGGGTGTGGGGGGCTGAGCTGGGCACACAGTAAGGGCTCTGGCTCACTGGGAAACAGTGTTTGATTTGTGCTTCTGACAGCCCCATGACACACCTTGAGGAGGCCGCTCCTACCCACTCCCCCACACCCCACACTGGACGGCATTGGATGAAAGGACAGCTGCTTGGGTTCTAATGCTCCTGCTCTCTTCTCTTTCCCCTCCAACCAGTTCAATCTCATCCCTCCCAGCAGCTCCCCTTCCACCCCCCGGGGAACTGAAGATTGTCCTGGCCGCGACCTGAGACCTCCATGAGTGGAGGGAAGAGTGATCTCTGTCTCTTCCCCCAGCAGCTCGGACCAGTCCCAGCTCCCACCCCGCCCCCTTTCCCCGGGAGCTGGGAGTTCCTGCCAAGCACCTTGAATGGGAGAGGCCTCAAAGTGGGTGGGCCAGGTCCAGCGGGGGTGGGGGGTTCCTGCTCTGCCCCTGCCCCATCCCCACCCCATCTTGCCCTCCCATCCTCTATCCCCCACTGGAGACGGAAGATCTTTTATTTTCTATTATTTATATGTCAGACTTGGGCCCCCTGTTCTTTCTTCCCCATTAACTCGAGTGACCTGCCTGAGAGACAGATGCCCCACAAGGATGGTTGGACAAGGACTTTTACTTTTTATTACATAAAAATATAAAAAAAAATTAAAAAAATAAAATTTTAAACTAACTTAACCTGCCTGAAGTTTACTTTTTGGAGACTAGAGTTAAGATTGTGGCCATCTGCCTTAAACGTGGTGTGATGTGGTTGCCAAGGTGGGCCCTTCAGCCTGAGGATGCTGCCCCTCTGGCTCTACTGCTGTACAGGTCCCCCAAGTTTCCTCACCTCCACATTGACTGACACTTCAGTGTGTTTGGCCACTGGAAATAAAGTTTGACTGGTGAGTGGTCTTGGGTATGGGTGAGACCTATGAAAATGAAGTTGCAGTGGGAAAGGGGAGAGGGCTAGGTTGATGGGCCAGGTTATGGGGAATTGGAGCTAAACTAGGACAAGAACCAAGCATGGGATGTAGAAAAATCAGGCTTCAGATGTTTGGGGATTTTTTTGTTGCAGGCATCAGTAGGAATTCTTTTGTATCTGGCCTTGGTTTTGTCTGTGAAAAAGAAATTTCACCCTTAGGGAATTACAAGGACTGGTGCTTAATTGTAGGCAGGGGAATTTCAGCTTTGAGCAAAGCCAGAGAAAATTGGCTAGGACTGGGAGAGGAAGAATGAAGATGAGATATTGGGAAAGAATTCCCAGGATCTGAAACGTGGTGGGCATGGGATTGGAGAGGAAGTTTTGAGGTCCCAAATTAAAGAGCTCTTTAGGGGATTGTCAGTTGGGGTTGTAAGGGCAATGATGGAAGAAGCAGAAAAACCTTTCTGAGGGGAGTAACAGCAATAGGGTCTCTTGCACACCCCCACCGAAGATCAAGCCCACAATCTGGGCATGTACCCCAACTGGGAATCCAACCAGCACCAACCTGGGCATGTGCCCTGACCAGGAATCAAACCGAGACCCTTGGTTTATACGTTGAGACTCAACCACTAAACCACACTGGCCAGGCAGGCCTGAGGACGTTTGAAGTGTAGGTCTCTAGTACTGAGTGATGTAACTGCACGTGTTAACTAGTACTTTTTTCTTTTAATATATTTTTTTGATTTCAGAGGAGAAACATCAATGATGAGAATCACTGATTGGCTGCCTCCTATACACTCCCTACTGGGGATTAAGCCTGCAACCCGGGCACGTGCCCTGACTGGAATCAAACCTGGGATCCTTCAGTCTGCAGGCCAACTCTGTCCTCTGAGCCAAATCACTTGGGGCAAGTAGTAGTACTTTGAAATGTTTACTGGTTATCTCCCATACATACCTGAATTAGGGACCGAAACTACAACCTGAGGATATGCCCTGACCAGGAAATAAACGGGGGGCCTTTGGTGTACGGGACATTTAACCAACAGCCACACAGGCCAGGGCCCTAGTAGTCCTTTTGATAAGTTAAGAATTGCATGTTGGGCCGAGACCGGTTTGGCTCAGTGGATAGAGCATCGGTCTGCGGACTGAAGGGTCATGGGTTCGATTCCGGTCAAGGGCATGTACCTTGGTTGCGGGCATATCCCCAGTAGGGGGTGTGCAAGAGGCAGCTGATCGATGACTCTCTTTCATCGATGTTTCTAACTATCTCTCTCCTTTCCTCTCTTGTAAAAAATCAATAAAATATATTAAAAAAAAAAAAAAAAAAAGAATTGCATGTTGGGCCGAAACCAGTTTGGCTCAGTGGACAGAGCGTCGGCCTGCGTACTGGGGGATCCCAGGTTTGATTCCAGTCAGGGACATGTACATTGGTTGTGGGCACATCCCTGGTGTGGGGTGTGCAGGAGGCAGCTGGTCAATGTATCTCTCATCCGTGTTTCTAGCTCTCTCCTCTCCCTACCTCTCTGTGAAAAATCAATAAAATACACACTTTTTTAAAAAAAAAATTGCAGGTTGGTTTTATCTTACTCCTAAGAGCAGAAATCTTGAAGTTGGGAGCTTATACTCTAGTCAGCCAGGAATCCCCCTCTTGATCCTAAATCCTTCCCTTGAGCCTGTTTTCTGGAGTAGGTTTTGAGTTTTTCCAAATCCTCAGCCTCCCCTCTCAGGACTGCTCAGCAGGATGTCTGGGGTATACTCCTTTGTCAGGATCCAAGTTTGAAAGGTGTACGTACCCATTATTCCCTGCTGAATGTTACCTTTTTTTTTGTTTGTTTCAAGACACATTCCTGGTCAGCAGGCTCCCTTTTTTTTTCTTTTTTAAATGCTTTTAGAGACATGGGTCTGTCGTTCCACTTTGGTATGCATTCACCGATTGATTCTTTTATGGACCCTGACCGGGGATCAAACCTATAACCTTGGTCTGTCAAGATGCCGCTCTAACCCGCTTACCTACCCAGCCAGGGCCTCAAGTTTTAAAAACCTCAGCATTTTATTCTGATTATTTGATAAACAGCATTTTTCTTTTTTAAATCTCCAATATTGAAAAGTGAATCCTTCATTCTACACCTTCTCAAGCCTGTTTGGAATTGGTGACCACGGTAATAACTCATCAAGTACAGGTTATATGGGAGCAGAAGGAAGGCACAGAGACCTGCAAGGCAGTCACCCTGGAGCCAGCCCCTGGGCCTAAGGCTTTCTTCCGGTGCCTGTTAGCACAGTGCGAATGTTCTTCTGTCCCAGGAACTCGCTCATCTCCCTGGCTCCAGAGGTAAGATACAGTCCCCACTATCAGCGCTTAAACAAGGAGAGCTAGACATCAATGCCAGTGCCTACTAAAGGAGGAAATGAGCTGAGCCCATTCTGGTTCCGAGTGATAAATCCTTTCCCACCATCTCCCAAAAAGACATCCACTAATATTCCACTGTAGCATACAAAGTTCACAAGACTGGCTTTCAACCCTTTGGCTTCTCTCCAAAGAGCTGAAAGCTAGTCAGCAAAGAGGAGCTTTCATTGAGATGAACTGAGGCTAGAGAGAGAACTCAGTTAAAATAGCTGGCTCCAGGGTGCCTCCTGGGCTTTTGCCTCCCCCCCCCCAACCCTTCCCTTTTAAAAAATATATTTGATTTTTTACAGAGAGGACAGAAGAGGGATAGTTAGAAACATCAACGAGAGAGCAACATCGATCAGCTGCCTCCTGCACACACCCACTGGGGATGTGCCCGCAACCAAAGTACATGCCCTTGACCCGAATCGAACCTGGGATCCTTGAGTCTGCAGGCCGACGCTTTATCCACTGAGCCAAACTGGTTAGGGCTAAAAAATATTTTTATTGATTACAGAGAGGAAAGGGAAACATCAACAATGAGAGAAAATCATTGATAGGCTGCCTACTTCAATCCTTCATGTCCCGCCACTGGGATCAAGCCCAGGTATATGCCCTGATCAGGAATCGAACCATGACCTGGCTCATTGAGCCACACCAGCCTGGCTCTGGCTCCCTTTTTATTATATTCCTCTATCATTCCAACTTAAACAAAGGACACAAACCCAGGCTAGCTTACTATTCACAGAACAGTTTATTGACCTACCTCACCTGGCAGGCCGTGCGGCCCTTCTGGCCAGGAGAAGTGGTGGTCTAGTTGCAACTGCTGGGTTGCAGCCCATGCCCCGGGAAGGGGCATGAGAAACAGAACACTGGCCAGCACAGCCCTGCATACAAGAGCCTGAGCAGAGGTCCGCTCTCAACTCCACTTGATGTTCTTGTCCTCTTCAGTCATGGCTGGTGTCTCAGTGACGAGGCCAGTGCCAATGGTCCGGTTGCCATCTCGCAGAGTAAAACGCTGACCTTTTTCTAAGATCATCGGCTGCCGCAAGATCAAGCTAAGCTTCAAGTCCTCCCCAGGCATGGCAAGCTCCTGGAGGGGACAGAAACAGGGATCGCACATGGCCTTCAAGATGTCTTTATCCCAACTGTTTTGTTGGCTACCAAAGTTAATGATTGTGGGGAAATGATGATTATTTCTGGGAACACTTCATCCCAGCTGTCAGGCAGATGCCAACAGAATATGCAAAGGCAAATAAATAAATAGGACCACTGATCAGTATTTCTAAGGTATGCTAAGGGAAAATGTTTAATTTTGGACTACGGAGATCTCTTGGGAACTTATCCAAGCCCTACGTATAGTAAAACTCTCAAGAATAAATACCCTTTTCTGAGAAGTCTCTGGGTAAATGGTAACATAACTAAGTTTTTCAACTATTTCAGCCTAGGGAATAGTGGATGAGGACTCATTCCTCCAAAATCCATTGGCCCAGACCTCCACCACTAGTTGGTTCATCTACATCTTCGCCCAAAGAAGTCACTCACGTTGTCACATCTTTGGAACTGTACCCTATGCCACCATACCTTCCCTGGAGGCAGGATGATACGGCAGGCCATGTCCCAAGTCAGGGAGAACATGACAGGCATGAAGTGGGACACAAAGGGCTTGTGGCGGCCACCTTCCTCTTTGGTGAGGATGTAAACCTGGAAAGGAGAGCAAGTGGCTAGAAGCACTGCCGCTCGGGGCAATCCGTCGGTCAGCCCTGTCCGCGGCCTGAAGCCTCACCTGTGCCTCCACCTTCTGGTGGGGCTGGATGGAACCTGGTTTGGCCATGACCAGGCCACGTCTCAGGTCCTCCCGCTTCAAGCCTCGAACCAGGGCCCCGAGATTATCACCTGCCTCTGCCCTCTCCAGGCTCTTGTGGAACATCTCAATGCCTAGGAGGGAGAAGAGGAGACGAGGAGGACCTCGGGAACAGCGGGAAGGCACAGGGATCTGCAGGGCAGAGGTCACCCTGGAGCCAGCCCCTGGGTCTAAGGCTTTCTTCCCGTACCTGTTACCACAGTGCGAATGTTCTTGTTGTGTCCCAGGAACTCACACTCATCTCCCTTCTTCAGAGTTCCACGTTCTAGTGTACCTGTCACCACCGTGCCCCGGCCTGGGAGGGAATAAGAAAGGACATTAGGGACCTTGGGCAAGGATCTTGTTAGGGGGAGAGAATGCCAATGAGCAGGGTCCTCACCAGGGATAGAGTACACGGACTCTACCGGCAGCAGGAAAGGCTTCTCTAGGTCCCGGGTGGGCACTGGGATGTAAGTGTCCACAGCATCCAGCAGCTTCTGCACAGACTTCAGGCCTAACTCGGGGTCGCGTTGCTGGAAAGGGTTGGGGAGGGGTTTCCATGTTGCTTACCAAGAACTACTAGTGCCCCCCCGACTCAGAGCACGGCTCCACATGCCTGTCCCGCCCTATCCTCTGTGACTGCAGCCCCTGCCTGATCCTGCCTTCACCTCAAGGGCACAGAGGGCAGAGCCTACGATGACCGGAGTCTCCTCCCCTTTGTAGCCAAACTCAGTGAGCAGCTCCCGGATCTCCAGCTCGACCAGCTCCACCATCTCGGCGTCCTGGACAGCATCTGCCTTGTTCACATACACCACCACATGCTCTACTCCAATCTGCGGGCGGGAAAGAGGGAGACGGTGTCCTAAGTGGCCCAACTCCCCACTCTCCTCTTCCCACTCCCTCCCAGGATCCGCATACCTGTCTGGCCAGTAGCAAGTGCTCTCGGGTCTGAGGCATGGGGCCATCATTGGCTGCCACCACCAGGATGCAGCCGTCAAGGGGGGCAGTGCCTGTGATCATGTTCTGGGGAGGAGGAGAGAAGACACAGCCTCGTTCAGCGACCTCAGCTCCACATCCATCTAGCCAAGCACAGCAGCTAGGAACCGAGGCTCACCTTTCTCTGCCATCTCACCATCCACTTTAAGTGGCCATGCCCACAAACCGATACATTTTGAGTACCTTAAGCTCCCCTAACGTTTCTCCTGACCGAAGGCGGCTCCTGGCCAGTCCCCAGCAATGCTCTCACCTTAACGTAATCGGCGTGGCCTGGACAGTCCGTGTGGGCATAGTGGCGGGCGGCAGTGCTATACTCCACGTGAGCTGCATTGATGGTGATGCCGCGGGCTCGCTCCTCCGGGGCATTGTCAATCTCTTCATACTTCTTAAACTTGGCCCCGCCTCCCTCGGCTAAAACTAATCCGGGAAGGCAAGAGAACACGGCTCTCAGCTCTAGTTCCAGAGGCAGAGGCCTGGCTTGGGGCACACCCCCAGGTCCCTCCCACTTAAACAACCTGAAACGGACAGCCTGGGGGCGGACCCTCCCTCAACCTCTGCGGAGAGAACCAGGCAGAAAAAAAGGCCTGAAGGTCTTGTTCGGAGACTTGCTGGTAAAGCCTCGCTTACAGGGCGGTCGCTAATGCTAGAGGGAGGCCATTCAGGGTCCCCCAGGTTATGCACCACCAAGTTCTTCATGTTTGGGGGAAATCTGTCTCCTGAACAGAAATCTTCCAACCCCGCCCCGCCCACTGGCGTTGCGGCTCCTCGGGCTACACTAAAAGCTCCAGCAGCCACAGGGCCCCGCCTCCCTGGCTGCCTCCCGGGCTCCAGGTCCCGCCTGCAGAGCGGGCCCCGCCGGACGCCCCTCGGCAGCTCGCTCACTTTTCGTGATGGCCGCGGTCAGTGTGGTCTTGCCGTGGTCCACATGGCCGATGGTCCCCACGTTCACGTGGGGCTTGTCGCGCACATAGGTTTTCTTGGCCTCCACGGCCAGGCCGCGACACAAGAGGGTCAGCGCCGGGGCCGTCAGCGGCCGCAGCAGGCCCTGCAGCAGCGGGGTCGGGCCGGCGCCGAGACCTGCAGGGGCAGAGGCCAGGCGTGGAGTCAGCGCGCGAGTCGGAGCCCGGCCGCTCCCGACAACCCCCACGTGTCCCCGGACCCCCAGGTGCCGCCGCCCTCCCCGCCCCTCACCGCCGAAGAGGGGCGTCGCGCGCAGCAAGGTGGTGACGGCCATCGTGGTCGGACTCACGCCCCGAGTACCGCGGCGAGGTACCCGGTGCCCGCGCGTGCAGAGAGGGCAATTGCGACTGGAGGTCACTTCCGGCGGAAGTGAGGACCAAGAGGGCAAACCCGGGCACTTCTAGCCACGAGTTTCTATGGTCATCTCCGCCGACTTCCGGGCGCGGGCGGAAGACGTCAAGGAAGGTAAATACCGGAGCGCGGGGGCGGGCACGGGGAGGTTTCCACACCCACTCAGGCCCCGCGGGAGGCGGGGGCACGCAGTCCTCCCCGGCGCCGCCAGGGGGCGATGTGAGCTCCCATGGCCTGTGGCCTCCGGGGTTCCCGAGCAGCGGGCTGCGTTTGCGCTTAGGGAGGAGTTAGGTGGGTTAGTCGGGTCCGGAGGGCGCCCCCTGCCTCCCAAGGCAGAGGCGGCAGAGGCGCGGACTGCTCAGGACCCCCGGAGCCCACCCCCTGCGCGGGTCTGTGGAGCGGGAGGTGGGACAAGGCCCTGCCGCCAGGCTGAGGAAGAGGGTCCTAGGCGCCTTTCGGGGGTGGGGTAGGGCCCTCTCAATGCTGAGCCTTTGTTTTTTTATCTGTGAAATAGTAATAACTACCGCATGGAGAGACCCTGCTCTGGGAATGAATGAGCTGGAGAAAAAGCAGGAGTGGCGTCCTGAGGCCTCCTGGTCGCACAGGCCTTAAACCTCAAATACCTGCCCTCCTAGCCCACAGCCTGCGGGGAGAGCGGAAGCCTTGCCATTCCCCCCGTCACACTTCAGCAGTCCGAGATATGATTTCCTTGATGATTGCCTCACCCACCCACCCATCTTTACTGATGACACCAAGGGTGAGGGACCAGCCTCGGGTACCACGAAGCTTGAGCTTGAGCCCAGCTGGCCTGGCAGGATGGTTGAGCATTGACCTATGAACCAGGTATGGGCGAAAGGGGCCACATGCAAACATGATAAGCTCAGGGAAGGCCTGCAAGATGGTCTTGCAAACTCAGAGACCTAAAGTCACCACAAAGGATGGTCTGAAATTAAACTTTAACTAAAAGCAGTTATGGTGAGCCAAAACCGGTTTGGCTCAGTGGATAGAGCGTCGGCCTGGGGACTGAAAGGTCCCGGGTTCGATTCTGGTCAAGGGCATGTACATTGGTTGCGGGCACATCCCCGGTGGGGGTTGTGCAGAAGGCAGCTGGTTGATGATTCTCTCATCAATGTTTCTAATTCTCTGTCCCTCTCTCTTCCTCTCTGTAAAAAAGTCAATAAAATATATTAAAAATAAATAAATAAATAAATAAATAAATAAAATAAAAGCAGTTATGGTGAGTGGTTACATCCTAAGCCCACATCTTCACTGACAAGGTCAACCTTTACCTTAACTGAGCCTCTCTCTCTTTTTGCATCTATAATAACATACCCTTGAAATGTCTTGGTAACTTTTAACTTCCCTTTTTCCAGCCTAACATGTCTGGGCACCAGGACAGATACCACAAATTCCTTCATTATTATGTTAATTGTTCCTGCACCCACCTAAGTATGTGTCTATCATTTTACTTTTTATCCAATCCCAGGAGTTTCCCTGTTCTGCTTCCTCTCTAGTCTATCACCAATGGATTTCATATAACCCACCTACATCCTTTTCTTTGATTACAATCTATGTATAAAAGCCTAAGCAACCAGCCAGTAGCTATGATGCGCACTGACCACCAGGGGGCAGATGCTCAAGGTCTGGAAACCACAGGCATGGAAACACGGAACGGGCTGATGCATCTCATAGGGAAGGGGGTGGGGAGAGGGCAGGAAGAGATTAACCAAAGATCTTAAATGCATATTAGAGACCTGGTGCTTCTGAATTCATGTACCAGTGGGGTCCCTCAGCCTGGCCTGTGCCCTCTCGCAATCTGCGTTCCCTCGGGGGATGTCAGAGAGCCAGATTCAGCCCCATCCCTGCAGGCCAGGCTGAGGGACCCAAGAGTAGACTGTTAATATATAGACTAAAGGCCTGGTGCACCGAATCTTGCGGGAGGACGAAGGCCTGGGCAAGGGACCCCACTGGTGCATAAATCTGTGCACCCGGCCTCTAGTGTATAAATACAGATGTAACCTGCCATTCTCCAGAGCATTACTAGTACCTCAATCTGTTGAGGTTCTGCTTCCCAGCAATTGTTGCCAGTTTGGCTCAAATAAACTCACAAAAATTCTTTACAGGTTTGAATGTTTTTATGTTAACAGAAATAACAGTTTGACTCCTGGTGGGGGTTTGTTCCCTGAAGGGTAAGGTGACCAGACATCCCGCTTTTTAACAACTTTTCCTGCGTCCTGCAGCGTTTTAAAAAAGTCCTGATTTTAGGAAAGAATCTTTCCAAAAACCGGGACTTTTTTAAAATGCCACAGGACACAGAACAAATTGTTAAAAATCGGGACTGTCCCGCCAAAAGCAGGACATCTGGTCACCTTACTGTAGGGGCACATGCCAGGTTTCAGGCTCCATCCCCAGTGTTGGGTGTTCGGGGGTCCAGCTGATTGGTGACACTCTCTCATCACTGATATTTCTATCTCATCCTCTCTGAAATCAATAAAAATACATTAAAGAGAGAGAGAGGGAGAGAGAGAGATTGAGAGAAAGGAGCTTGAGTCTTTCTTATTCCTGTTTGTCCCCAGCAGCTAACACAGGGTGGGGCTCCCAGTGAGTGCTCAGTAGATGTCTGTAAATGAATGAATGCATTCAAGGAGAGTACTAGTATATAACCTGTAACTTTCACATCCCTCATCTCATCACCTGGGATGATAATAGCAGCTGCTTATTATTAACCTTGGTTAATGTTTCCAAAATTCATCAGATCCTAGAACTCAACTATGTTTCAAAAAGATTTTCTATAAATTATGTTCAGTAGGGTCTGGGCACAGAAAGGGAAACTGTATTTATTTATCACACACACACACACACACACACACACACCTTAAGCTCAGTGTTACCCTGTGTGGTAGTGAGAGAAGTTAGCTTGAACGCAGGCATATAGGATGGGGTTCAGTGTGAAACAAAGGCAAGTGGAACATAGACAGGGATAGACACGGCAGTTTGAGCAAGCCTGATCACAAAAACAACCATGCTGAAATAATAGAATGTTTTGGGACACAGAACGGGAGGCATGGGAAACCAAGGGAGAGCCTGCAGCAAAAAAAAAAAAAAAAAAAAAAAAAAGTGTACAAATACATAGAAACAGCAAGTTCAGGTTCATTGCTGGGCCTGAACAATGGAATCAATCAGGTGGGGACACATGTAGCTATAAAGCAGGCTCGTAGCAAATATCAATATATACCCCCGGACTACAGGCCTTACGGGCAGCCATTATTGGGCCTCTACCCCAATGCGAGGAGTCTAAATCTGCTGTGTTAAGTTTTCCACACTTTTGCTTAACTCTTCTGGTTGCCGGAGCTCATCCTTCAGTGTTGAGAGACACAACCCCGGGGAAAAAACCTCAATGCACTGTTCCGGTTATCAGCGGGAGCTGGTATTGCTCCCATTTTACAGATGAGAAAACAGCACCAGGGTGAGTAAGGAACCCAATAGAACTAAACTCCAAAGTGTGCACTTAACTACTGCACTGTACTATATATGCATCATCCTATACAATAAAAGGGCAATATGCAAATCGACCGAACTGCAGAAAGACACATCACTTTGATCACACTGACCACTCAATGCAGGAGCTGCCCCCTGGTGGTCAGTGCGCTCTCACAGGGAGTGCTGCTCAGCCAGAAGCCCAGAAGCCAGGCTCATGGCTGGCGAGTGCAGCAGCAGTGGTGGTGGAAGCCTGTCCCTCTGCAGCAGCGCTAAGGATGTCTGATCGCCAGCTTAGGCCCACTCCCCCTTCCTTCAATCAAAAAATGGGCAAAGGATCTAAATAGACACTTTTCGAAAGAGGGCATCCAGCAGGCCCAAAGACATGCTCAAAGTCACTAATCATCTGAGAGATGCAAGTCAAAACGACAATGAGATACCACCTCACACCTGTCAGAATGGCTATCATCAACAAATCAACAAATGACAAGTGCTGGTGAGGATGCGGGTAAAAGGAACCTTCCTGCACTGCAGATGGGAATGCAGACTGGTACAGCCACTGTGGAGAACAGTATGAAATTTCCTCAAAAAATTAAAAATGGAACTCCCATTTGACCCAGTGACCCAGCTTTTAGGAATATATTCCAAGAAACCAGAAACACCAATCAGAAAGGATATGTGCACTCCTATGTTCATAGCAGCACAATTTATAATAGGTAAGATTTGGAAACAGCCTAAGTGCCCATCAGCAGATGAATGGATTAGAAAACTTTGGTACTGCCGAAACCGGTTTGGCTCAGTGGATAGAGCATCGGCCTGCAGACTGAAAGGTCCTGGGTTCGATTCTGGTCAAGAGCATGTACCTTGGTTGCGGGCACATCCCCAGTGGGGGGCGTGCAAGAGGCAGCTGGTCGATGATTCTCTCTCATCAATGTTTCTAACTCTCTGTCCCTCTCTCTTTCTCTCTGTAAGAAATCAATAAAATATATTTTAAAATAAAAAAAAATAAAACTTTGGTACATCTACACAGTGGAATACTATGCTGCTGTAAAAAAGAAGGAACTTTTACCATTTGCAACAGCATGGATGAAACTGGAGAGCATTATGCTAAGTGAAATAAGCCAGTCAGAGAAAGATAAATATTACATGATCTCACTCATATGTGGGATATAATGATCAATATAATTTGATGAATAAGAATAGATCCAGAAACAAATGGTGGGGGAAGGAGTTAGAGAGCAACCAAAGGACTTGTACGCATGCATATAGCATAACCAATGGACACTGACACTGGGGAAATAGGGGCTTTCCTGGGGTGGGAATGGCTTGGGGGCAGTCAATTGGGGGAAAAGTAGACATATGTAAAACTTTAGACAAATAAATATAACACACACACACACACACACACACAGAGGCCTAAGCTAGTAGGACATGATCTCACTCATC